CCCCCCCCCGCCCCCCCCCCGGGGGGGGGGGTGACTTCTCACTTTCTGTCTCCCTGTCTTTCTGGTGAACTCAGCACGCGCCCTATAGCAAAAACCTCTAAAAGAAAAATTCATTGAAGTTAACATTTAAACAATGTTAAGAAGGGATCAAAAGAGCAAAGGGGGCGTGGCTGCTTTGGACAGGGAGGCGTGGGTCACAGGAGTGTGTGAGGACAAGGCCCGCACAGCAGCCCTGTTCGTGTGTGGCATCTGTCTGGGCACTTGCACGCCCCTCAAGCACATCAGATATCCATAAGCCTTGGTGGGGTGGGTGAAGGACTGAGTCTGGACCTCAGTGGAATCCAGGAAAAGAACGTCTCCTCCCAAATGTGGAATGGGCCTAAGAGAGCAGAGCAGCCTGAATCTGAACTGCTCATTCTGCACTGAGGAAGCCAAGGGAAGGCCAAAGAGATGAAGTGCCTGCTAACAGATTTCGAAGCGACTGGTGGCAGAGCCATTGCATGGGTCAGGGGTCCCTTAGCTGTGCACCGTGTTCTTTCTTTTCCACTTTCCAATGGAAATCTCTTCCACTGTCAAATGGTTCTGTGGTGAGAAACCCAAGAGGCCTTCTCTGAGTCATAAATAAGCATCAACGCTCAACTGTCACTCTTTTTTGTTTTGGAGAGGTTTTTGCCATAGGGTGTGTGCGCTCGCCAGACAGACAGAGAGAGACAGAGAGATAGAAAGCGAGAAATCACCCCCCAGGGGAGATGGCCATGCTGCAATCCCTTCTCCTCCACTCTCCTCTCAGGATCTTGGGCACGCACGCACACACACCTGGCGTGAGTTTTAAGCCACCGGGTCCGGGACGGGAACCGCAGTCGACTACATGGGAGTCCAGCGACATAGCCATTATGCTAACTGCTGGTCCCTCAACTGTCACTCTTTTACCTTTTCATTCACAGCTAGCTTTCATTCCGACCACAGTGAAATCCCAGCCTTTATCTTCAGACTAGCTGATTACAACTTGTTAAGCAATCTTCCTAACCCTGTTGATGCCTCCACCTGTGTTAAAAGCTTTCTTTTTCTCTGCATTGAGATCAAAAGCCCCATGCCACATTTTCTCTTGTAAGGTATTTCTCCCCAGTTGTTGGGCAGGGAAAAGAGTTAGAGTAAGGGCACAGAGCCATTGATGTGTTCCTCTGAGCTGGTGAGGTAACGTGAGGTTCTGGAGCAGTGCTGAAAAGGTCTTTGTGGGTTTTGATTGTCCCACTGCAAGCAGAGCCCTGCTAAGTCATAATTCTTCCTTCCTGCCTGTGGAGCACAGGTGTACTCACGTCCTGGCTATTCTGACTGCTGCGTAAGTCTGGTGGTTGGCATGCTCCTTTAGCCAAGCAGCTGTATGCATGCCACACACCTGCCAAATGTCGCTTTCTGAGGGGAAAACAGAATGTGACCCAAGTGAGTTCACAGGCCTGCACTCGTGCACTGAGATCTGAACTACTGAAATGATTTTTAATCAATGTGTCAGAATTATCTGTGGAGACTTTTCCAAACCACTCCAGCTTGGAGTGCCCTGCTCTCCTCAGAAGAGGATTCCAATCTTGGTGAAAGAGGGTATGATGCAGCAATACCTAGGCATGGATATTTTTAAAGGCTCCACAGGTGATGTGAGGATTCCTGCCTTGAGGAGTTGGAATCTGCCCTGCACAGTGATTCCCAAAGCTGTCCTCCATGCGTAGACCATAGGCATCTTTCCCACAGTGGTTAGTGACCTTGCTCTGCTTATTTTTTCATAGCACTTACCACCTCCTGACATCAGAGTATCTGTTCAGTTGTGTAGTTACCTACTTTCTCCTCTAGACTGCAATGTACTGAAAGTACAGACTTCATTTAGTTGTATCCCCAATACATAATAAAGTGTCTAGAATGCAACAGACACTCCATAATAAATAGACTGGTTGAGACAATCTACCTGCTAATGCCTATTAGTTAACATTCAGCTTTGAATGTGACGAGTCTCTATTACTCAAATATAAACAAACAGCAAACACTAAGGAGAAGTGTGAAGTATATAAAACTGTGTAGTATGTATAATGTATAAAATCTGCTTACCTTATCATAGTCTAATTTTCCTTCTTCTTGAGCCTAAAATAGAAGAGAGGGGGAAATTAATTTGTTAGTTCTTTTAAAATTATTTAGTTATTCTTTAAACTTCAAAAAGTTCACGGGAAAATGGAATTAAGATACAAATTTATTTTGGCACAAAAAAATTTAAATCCAGGGAGCCAGCAGTTAGCGTAATGGCTATGTCTCTGGACTCCCACGTAGTCAACCGCGGTTCGCGTCCCAGACCCAGTGGCTTAAAACTCACGCCGGGCACGTGTGCGTGCGTGCCCAAGATCCCGAGAGGAGAATGGAGGAGAAGGGATTGCGGCGTGACCATCCCCCCTGGGGGGTGATTTCTTGCTTTCTGTCTCTATGTCTCTCTCTGTCTGGCGAGCGCACACGCCCTATAGCGAAAAAACCTTTCCCCCCCCAAAAAAAAAGAAAATAAAAAAAAATTTAAATCCGTGCCTAGTTTTTCTCATAACACATTTTCCACTAACTTTTTGACAAATATATATAAAGAGAAAATTTTCAAACATACAGAACAGTTGGAAGAACAGTCCAATGAGCTCACCTCTACACCCTAGCTAGACTCGGCAGGTACAGATGCTGTGACTCACCTGACATGCTTTGGTACACATCTTGTGAGCACAGAGTCTCTCATCTGTAACCATGCGACCGGTTACCAAATGACAAAGCTAACACCGCCATATCATCCAGCACGCAATTCGTATTCAAATTCCTCCAGTTGTCCCAAGATTACCTTTTATAGCTTTTTTTCCCAAATCATAATTAATCAAGATTCTCACATTGCATCTGTTTTTTTTTTTTTTTTTTGGGTCTCTTTTTGGCCTTTTAAATCTAGACTAATCCCTCTTCATTCTTCCTGAAAAATGAAAATAAAAGCTACTAACTTATTTTCATGAAAACCATTGCCATTTGAGGCAACTAGGACTGATGTTTTATAAAACATCTCTTTAAAATTTGTCTCATGTTTTTTCCTCATTGTGTCATTTACCTTATCTCTGTTTGCTTGTAAACTAGAAGTTGGGTCTAGAGAAACTTGTTCAGATGTAGGTTAAACATCTTTGGCAAGAGTATTTTATGGGGAATATTCTGTACTTCATCAGCTCATGAGGCACAAAATGTTAGGTAGTTTCACTCTTAGTAATTCTACAGATTTGATCAGTTGGTTAACATGGTGACCATGAGATCACTCCACAGTAACGATTTATTTCCTCCTCTAGAATTAGGAAATCATCTGTAGGGTCAACTTTCCCCCACTTCACTTAGCATAATTTTTCTTATGCTGTATTATGTCAAAAGACCCTCCTCACATCTGGCAGGTGGCATGGTGGTTAAGGTGCTGGACTCCCACACATGGTCAACTGTGGTTCAAGTCCTAGATCTGGTAGTTTGCTTTCTCACTTTCCCTCTCTCTCTCTTTCTCTCTCTCTGGTCAAATTAAAAAATAATAATTATGATGAATAAAATTAAATGAGGCACAAAATGTTAGGTAGTTTCACTCTTAGTAATTCTACAGATTTGATCAGTTGGTTAACATGGTGACCATGAGATCACTCCACAGTAACGATTTATTTCCTCCTCTAGAATTAGGAAATCATCTGTAGGGTCAACTTTCCCCCACTTCACTTAGCATAATTTTTCTTATGCTGTATTATGTCAAAAGACCCTCCTCACATCTGGCAGGTGGCATGGTGGTTAAGGTGCTGGACTCCCACACATGGTCAACTGTGGTTCAAGTCCTAGATCTGGTAGTTTGCTTTCTCACTTTCCCTCTCTCTCTCTTTCTCTCTCTCTGGTCAAATTAAAAAATAATAATTATGATGAATAAAATTAAATAAAATAATTCTTAAAAAAAAAAAGACCGTCTTCTACACTTACCCACACTAGGGAAAAAGGGAAGAAAAGAGGAGATGAAGGAGGTATCTTGTGTGAGGTCATATTTTACTTAAAAAATAGTTTTAGATGTTATTAAAAAATAATTTAACATTAATACAAATACACAAATGTGTTATATATCAAATCTTAATATGACAGAGACAAACAATGTGTTACTTTGCTGGCAGGTCAGTCTGTACTTTGCAGACCTCACAATAAAACTTCTCCCACCTCTGCACAGAACAACAGCTTTTCAATTTACCAACAAGTTATGTCTTGAGACAGGTTTGTTTCTGAGTCCAGAATGACATAATACAGGAAAGTAACATGGGCAGATTACTTCCATGAGAGAAAAAGATTTTATAGCATTGATCCTGATGTTTCTTGCTTCTTTACGATCCTCTGAAAATGTATCCAATGCCTGTCTTTTGCTTTTCTTATGTTTATAAGAAACTTAAACAAGACACTGTTTATGCATAGCCATCAGCACCATCAAAAATCACTTCAACGGTGATTCGAACGTTTTAATGAAACAAAGGCCTCTGCAGCTAGTGTCCTCTAAAAAGAATACAGGGTCTTCAGTCTGCTCTTCAAAGTATTTAGAGATCTAGGATTTTCAGTAAACTAACAAGGTTTGAAACAATACTGAGATGTACTACACCAACAGGAATACGAGTCAGTGTTTGCAGGTATTTAAAAACTGTTCTGGGCTAACTGCATGGTCTAGCGGTTAAGGGAGTTGGATCCCACATGGCCATCTGCACAGTTTGAATCCTGGCCCTGGTGGCTTGAAAAACATGCCAGGCATGTGTGTGTGCATGCCCCAAATCCTGACTGGATGGAGAAATGGAGGAGAAGGGATTTCCGTGCGATTGGACCCCACGGGGGGGGGGGGGACACACACTTTCTTTCTCTCCCTCCGACTCTCTCTCTCTTTGGCAAGTGCATGTGCTCTCTGGCAAAGCGAAAATAAATTGGGGCTACTTTTTTCTTTATTCAGTTGGTTTATATTTATTTGTCTGTCTGTTTGGGCACCTTTCATCAAACTAAAGTGGTTTTGTTCATACTGGAAATCTCTCTCCCCCATGATAACTGCTACAGGAGGGGCAGGGAAGCCTTGAACATATCTGTGCGGCTCTCGTGACCTAGCTACTCACTGTGATGTTGTGCAGGGAGAACTGACCTCAATCCTATGAATAAGGCAAGGATGACCTGTGACCAAACTTCCAGCAGCAGCACTTCACATCATGCTTAGTCTCCAGGCTCTGAAACTCCCAGCTGTCTCTTGAATTTGTTTTAGGTGAATAAACACCTGACACTGGGGCTGATCCTCTGGTCACAAGTTCCTCACTTCTTCCATTCTCCAGCTCCATTCTTGTCTCTGGCTGATCACGATGGATTACTCAGACACAGCATTTTTCAGATGATGCATAGACTGCGAGTCCTATCAAATTGTTCGTACGGTCCACTCATTCCCAGAACACATGGGCCATTTCCTCACTGTCGATTCTGTTTCCGTTCTAACCATCTCCTCTTCATTCTCATCCTCTCAACATTTTCATTTTTCAGTGTTTAACACACAGGACATGTTGAAAGTGTTAAAAGTGATATTCAAATCTGGGAAGTTGGGGAACTTTTGTTATCTTAAGATTTCAGGGTAAACTATGGAGAAACTATATAATTTATAATGATGTAGGGTAGACTTTTCCTTGTGGATGTACTGAGCTATTTTATAGCTTGCCTGCTTTTTTTCTTTTTAAAAAGTTAATTAGTTAATTATTATTATTTTAATATTATTTACTTTAGAAATTTTTGCTATAGGGTGTGCGCACTCACCACATAAACGGAGAGAGACAGAAAGAGAGAAAGCAAGAAATCATCCCCTTAAGGGGGATGCCCATGCCTCAATCCCTTTTCCTCCATTCTCTTCTTGAGACTTTAGGTATGCACACATACACGCCTGGTGAGAGTTTCAAGCCACCAGGTCTGGGACTCGAACTGTAGTCAACCATGTGCATCACTTCAACCACTATACCACCTGCTAGCCCCATTATTATTAAGTTTGTTATAGGGTACTTGTGCTCATCAGAGAGAGGGAGAAAGTGAGAAATCAAGCTGCCAGCTTAGGAATCTGAACCATAGTCGGCAATGTGGTAATTCAGCACTTCAGTTACCATGTCCGCAGCTGGTCCCACTTGTCTTACTTTAAAAAATTTGGCGGGAGGGGGACCAGCAGTTAGCATAATGGCTATGTCGCTGGACTCCCATGTAGTTGACTGTGGTTCAAGTCCTGCAAATAGATGCATTTTGGAAAGGTCCTGGGTTCAAGTCCCAGGATCTTCCTGAACTCACAATACATGTGCCCATCATAAGGGCCAGCTGAGACTGAATAGATTGTAGCATGAGGATCCTGTTGGAGTATCTCTCCACCCCTTTATGTCTCTCTGTTGGAAGAAAGAAAGAAGCTTCAAAGAGAAAAAGGAGGGACCAGCAGATAGAGTAATGGTTACATCACTGGACTCCCATGTAGCCGACCGTGGTTGGAGTCCCGGACCCTGTGGCATAAAACGCATGCCAGGTACACGTGCCTGCATGCCGAGAATCCTGTGATGGATAGTGGAGGAGAGGGGATTGTGGCATGGCTATCTCCCTGGGGGATGATTCTCACTTTCTAGTTCTCTGATGAGTGCACATGACCTATAGCAAAAATCTCTCTTTAAAAATAAAATTGGGGCCAGCAGATGGCGTAATGGTCACGTCACTGGACTCCCACATGGCCGACCGTGGTTCAAGGCATGGACCTGGTATCTTGAAAATCACACCAGGCATGTGTGCGTGCGTGCCCAAGGGAAAATGGAGAGGAGAATGGAGAAGGGATAGTGGTGTGACCATTGTCCCTGGAGGGTGATTTTTCACTTTGCCTCCCACTGTCTTTGTCTCTCTTCCCTCCCCCCTCAATGCACACATCCTAAGGCAAAAACCTCTAAAAAAAAAAATAATAATCAACAGCATTTTCTTCAGGTGAGATGCCTGAACACAATGCTTTTCATAAATAAGGAAATCTGGGGTAACCCTACCACAAACTGCAGTAAAACCATTTTTGCCATCACATACTCTGCTTCTAAACTAATCATCTT